GAAAGACTTTCGCGAAAAGAAGAAAAAAAGAAGACGTTCCTTTCAAAAAGCGTCGATTTTATTATTTAAGACTCTCTCTCTCGACTGACCTTCGAATTAACGAGCACATTCAGCCCTTTATACCTTCGTCAGTTTTACTTGCCCCATTTTAACATTCAAGTGGACTTTCAAAAGCATGTCAGTCAGCTATAAATATCATCCTTCGAATGAAACGCGTTCAATGTCGGTCACTGGAATGCACCTTGGCAATCATTTATTAACCTTTCACGTCGTGCACTCTTCTTTCTAGAGCCCTGTCACTCCGTCTCACTTTCGCAGACTACTATTCCACTCCCTGGTATTTAGATAATTAAATAATTCAAATTTTTCAAATGAATTGATCTCTGATCTCTGCAAATCATGACCTCACGAATCAGTAAATTGAAAATCTTTATGTGCTAGTCGTACTTGCCATGTGATTTTTATTTCTTAAAAATATTATACTTCAAATTTCCACAAACCTGGTCCCTGATCCCTGGTCGAGGGCACATCTTCAATATCCAGCTCTTCATATCTTCCTTCTCCAGATTGTTGGAGCTTTCTTCAAAATTCGTTTCTCCTTCTTTCTCCATTAGTTCTTAAAATCCTTCATCTACACATTTGCTGGAAGCAAATTTTGCTCCAACTGCCAATCAGAGATGTCTTTCCAGGTGAAGAGGATAGAAGGCATCTTAATGTTCCTTCTCAAACTATTACAAGAGTCACATGTGGTGCAAGGTCACATCATCTACATCTTTCTTTCCAAACGAGTAAGGAACATTTGTTAAAATTCTTGCCAGATGATACCAATTCATTTTTCTTTGGTAAACGACAAGTACGGTAAAAGATATTCGGTGAAGATACAGCATGAAGCAGAGATGGAATTCTAAACAAAGAGCAATGGATGTTCCAAGTCTGCCACTTGATCGTGCAAATAGAATATGGATGAAATTCAGTGGAGAATTCTCGCTCCATCCATATTCTAGTCGTAATTGAGGTTCGTCAATCGGATCTCCTGTCTTTCATGAATCTGCCTTGTCGCGAGAGTTGATTTCGGGCAAACAATCTTCACTTTGTTCATTAAACAAAGCAAAGCGTCGGTGATAAATTCGACCGATTCCCGTCACTTTATTCGCTTCTTATATCAATGGAACGTGCAAAATAATCGTCATACGAACAAGACCAATTTGTTCTGAAGAAAGACAAGAGAGACAGTTTTTAAAACCATAATCGAATATATTATCATCAGGTGTAATTCAGGTACACCGCATGATCAATGTGAAAAAATTTATTAACAAACGTTCTTATTTTACAACAATGACGAGCCGATGTTGGACCATGCCCTATCGATAATGGTAAAAGTCGTTGAACGGTAATTACATTTGCTAAGTTGACTCGAACATTCCAACGCCCAAGAGTAAATTTCTTCGCGAGAAGTGTAGTGTGAACACGGGCGTGTTTTTTGTTGCAAACGTTCGAAGAAGATATGTTTCCGCGTTCGTTTTTACGTCTGGGTTATGCGATACATTCACATCTTCCAAACTCATCTCTTCGGCGAGTTTCGTGAAATCCCACAACTTGATCGTACAATCTAACGATCCTAAAAAAGAAAAAAAGTAACATAATATTTTTTTTATTTCTTTTTATTTTCTTGTTAGTAAAAAAAAAAAATAAGAAGAGGAAGAAGAAGAAAAGTAAGTATGGAATATAGCTAACCTGAGACTAGTATATTTCCATCTCTACTAAATGACAAACAATGAATGGTACCAGAATGACTCGACAAGGCAGCGACAAGATGACCGTGTGCTAAATCCCAAACTAAAACACGGTGATCAGCACCGGCTGACGCCAGAAATCGCCCTTCTGCGGAAAAAGCAAGGGAGTAAATCGGGGCTTTGTGTCCTGTCATTAATCTGACTTGGTTGCCGGTTACACAGTCCCATAATCTTACTGTCATGTCGCTGGACCCGGACGCTACGTAGTTTGAATTAGGATGGAACTGTACTACCTAAAACGGAATTAATTTGTCACAAATTAATTTCCCTTCGCGTGTTGTATTTGAAGTTATCCGAAAATAAACCTACGTCCACATCTGAATAGTGACCGGCGAATATTCGAAGTGGCTGATGAGAATCAGTTGCCCAGAGTCTGGCAGTCCTGTCGTGGGAGGACGTTGCGAAATAGTAACCGTGAGGCGAAAATCTTACGCACCACACTGGAAACAAGTGTCCCTTGTAACATACGACGCACGTCCACGTATGCAGAGACCATAATCTTACTGCAATATAATGTATAATGTACGAGTTATCGAATACAATTAGCGCATCACTTTGAGACTCACCTGTACTATCTTCCGAACACGAAAGAAGAAGATTTCGATCTGGGCTAAATGATAAATTATATATAGGACCGTTGTGTCCGAATAATGATCTTGATGTTTCTGCTGTACGATCGTCCATCATTCTTACTAGTACATCATCTACATCGCAACATATATGCGCGTTGTAATATTTGGAATATAATAAACATTTTATAATTCAATCGAATAAAAACAAACGTTACCTGCTTCCCTATCTATGTCCTGCAATTGTTCTCCTGTCTTCATCAGTCTTAATTTCTGTGGAATCAAGCTCCATACCTTTATACAAGAATCAGCGAATCCAATAGCCAATAAACTCGAATCCTCCGCTACCTCGGCCGCTGTTACACTAAATTTTCAATATTACGTGTATCTTAGCATTTTCTTGATCAAAATTAATCTTTTTTATGTAGACTCACCTATGCACCGCGTTTAACAGCGTATAGAAGCATATAGATGGTAAAGTATCAGGGCCAAGTATAACGCGCTTCGATGCTTCCCTCAGTGCCTTTCCTTTTTCCAACTTATCCGCGTCTTTCCTACATTTTTAATCAGAATTAATTATCATTTTTTGTGTAATTACGTAGTAAACGAATTTATAAAGTTTCTCACAAGTTGGGCAGAGGCATTCTACCAACAGGTGGTGCATTTGGATCTGACTTAGTTTTCTTGGAAAACAACGGATCCTTCTTAGCTTTCTTCTTTTTCGGTTTATCCCCGTCTGCACCACCTGTATCGTCCTCTTCTTCTTCGGTAGGAGGCATACATTGAATGTCTGGCTCCTTTAAAAGTCCATAATATACTTTTGCCTTATTGTCTGAATTAAAAAAGTTATAGTTAGCATAAGGAATATATTCTCGTATAAATTCATACATATTTGTATATGTTCATACAAGTTGTTCATTCTGAGTCACATTACCTTGTCTCGTTGCTTCGCCAACCATTGCACCCGATGTAGCGTCGATTTGCTGCTTATTCCTAGCTACTCCTTCGTACATATCAAAATAAAGATGCTCCTGTATAATATTTAACAATACAGACTGTTTCTTCTCCTGTAAATGCCGCTTTAATATAGAAAGTGTATCCCTTGACATTCTGATTATGAACTGATTGGATCTGTAGAATATTTTATATATTACATCACAAATAATCATCATTATATGTTACAATCACCAGAATTCATAAATACATACTTGAAAGTGTCGGTTAGTTCATTTCCTGCCATTTGTTCGCGTTTTGTCACATTCGACAATCTCTTCAAGTCATTTTGATAATATTCCTCTAAATTGCTACCAAATTTCTCCAATAGTTGCTTCGCTTCTTCGGAATGATTGTTGTAAACCAATTCAAGGTACATATGTACCAAAACTGGATAGAGTATTGTACCAAGTTCATGCTGTTATTAAAAAGAGTTGCTTTTCATATCTGTTATGCTTCTTATTAGTTCTCAAATTTAAAATAGTCTACCTTGTATATATCCAAGGATCCCTCCACAAATTTCTTCAATTCGCTGTATGCTTTTTCATACAGAGCAGGATCTCCCTCACTTTTGTAGGCGGAGAGAACACTATTCACCTCAGAGTCAGTTTGTTGAGTTTCATCCGGAGAGATGTTAGTTAGGTTTGCCTCTTTCTTAAATAATTCCTCTGTTCCCTACGAAGATAATACTTGTGGAATAATAATAATAACGCATACTTAAACATTACGAAAACATCTTTTATGCGAAAATATCAAGGTGTACTGAGGTTTTTTGAATAAACGTTCAATGTTTACGTTAACGTTGAGGTTAGAAAAGTTCAAATGACTTTTGATTCTTTGCCAGATACCTTTAAATTATACTTTCGAAGTAATTGCAGGATTGCAAGCAACGTGTTTTTGTCGTTATCCATTCTCGTCAACAAATTTTTACGTCAACAAATCAAGATATTTGTTAATAAACAAATTACGCGGAGAATATACATTCACTACGTTGTTTGAACGCGCACTTGAGCGCGTGTATAGTACGGTGTGGTGAGAAGCATAGATAAGTGAAGACATAGATTTATCATCGTGTGGTTGAACAAAATTACGACCGATTTTGGTAATAAATTGCATTTTAAATGTCGTATGAACGCATAAATATCCGCAGTCCAATTGTAATGTAATCATAATTAAATTATTCGATCTGAAAACAGAAAAATAAATTTGATTTCGAATGTCAAGATGGAAATTCCCATTTATACATAAAATTTACATTCGCGATTAAATCTAATTTTATGAATAAAATTATAAAATTATTCGATCGACTGAGTGAGTAGAATTTTCAAAGTCAATCTTTATTCGTGCATTTCGTAGGTTCGTTAGAAAGTTCATGAAAGTTTGCGAATTAATCTCTTTAATTAGCTTTCTTTGCAAATGAAAGTTTATTCAATTGGTGAACATCTGTGAATAGCGACGCGCGCACTTTTCAAATTAGCTGAACAGCCGATGACAAAAGAAGATAGAAGAAAATAGAATAGTAGTGAATATTTTAGAAAATATTTCAGTTGTAAAAGGTCGTGAATTGCTTGGAAAATCATGTCATTATATATAAATTAAATAAATAATAGTTAATGCTAAACCTTGTAATACTTATTAATTAAACTGAGTAAACTTCCGCAAACACGTAGCGACATCTATTCAATCTTATAAAAAGTTCAGTCTTATAGAAAGTTACCATGGAAATACAATAAATTATTGGTTACCATGTTACGAACAAATTGCCGAGAATATATATAATAGTAAATAAGAAATTAATAAACAGTCGCCAGTTGTCAGTCGCAATTCATGCATTAAATTCTGTATCATGTAAACGTTAAAATAAATTATAAAATTTTCCTTTACGTAGCACGGTGACTTTATCATTTATCGATCATCGTACCTACAAACACCGAAACGCTGGTTCCGCGTAGCGGTGAAACGGTGGAACTAAATTGTTGCTGTCGTTCTCATTGGCTCTGCAATTGCTGCTATTTATGTATTGCCCAATCAATGCTCAAAAATGTGACAAGCACAGGCGATGTGCATACATATTATGCTACTACAGCGCTAATTGAACGGTAGAATATGTAACTAAATGTCGTGACATTCGATCATTATCGATATAATTTTTCGCGATCGGTTTACAACATCGAAAGCGTTCGTGTTTGCATCGTTGAATATCTATACGATCCAGAGTGGAAAGACGGGATGGTAAGCATAAACAAGTCAAGCAATCTTCAAAATAATTTATTAAAAATCGCATACTCGATACTCGAATCGGTAATCAATAATGGTATAATTAGTAACTATATGCATGTCGTGTGAGCATGTTTCCGGAGGTTCTGTTGAAATTTTTTTACGTCTGACGGTGATCGATCCCTTATCGTTTTCATAAACCATTCCATAGAAGCGTCTTTCAGATCGGAGTTTACGATTTCGTTTAATGTTAATTAAACAGTTTATATTTCGAATGAAATATACACCTGTTAAAGCTTCTCGTAACAACGTGAAATCCAATTTAGAAATAAAATTCATTAATACATCGAACTCATTCGCGTGTAAAAAAAAAGTATCTTGTTAAATCGGCGAAGTGCATACTCTGTGATCGGCCTGACAGACGCGTCTACAAACATTTTTAACATAGTATTCACTTTCACAACATGTACGGTGCACGTGCGCATGCGCACGTGTGTTATTGTCGGGCCTGTTGTTGATTCCACGCTCACCGTAAATCGAATAATTTTATTCTCGTACGTCGTAATGCATTTTCCCGTTTTATGATTATTTCCTTGTAAACAACAGTGTCAGAGATCGAGAGTCTCTCGCTGCCTCGAGGTATTGAGTGTGTATTCCTTGTTGTTGCATACTCGTGCCGTGGGTAATGCATTCGAAGAAATTAGCGGACCATTAATCAGGTTTGTGTTCAACTTTCGAACAATTCGAGTGCAAACTTATTCGAGCGAATGAAAAGGGGGAAAAGACTTAACGTGCGTGTAAAGAAAGACATTTATCGCGATGCGGACGAATTATCCCGCGGGAATTTCAAACTGAAGTACCGATGCATTGAACAGTCGGTAAAGTCGCATTCTATGTTTGATTCGCTCAAAAGTAGAATGACGTTAAAAAATAGGATAGAAAAGTACTTGTAAAGTCGAAGTAAAAAGCAAGACCGAGGAGAAAAGATGAACAGGTTCGATGACATTGAATATCTTACAATTAGAAAAGAGAGTGATCACGTGACCGATTTACCGACTGTTGCAAATTACCATATGTGGCTCTGTGTGAAAAAGACGACAGAGAAAGGGGTACTTAATGCTTATTATTCGTTAATTTTCACCGCTCGGAACGGTGATTATTGCGGGGCGCCGAAGCGTTTCAAACAATAAGCGTTTTCGGCAGTCTTCGGGAAGAGTTTGGAACTCATACAACTTCTGTGCTACTAGATAAACACCAGGCCTGTTCACAAGATACACCTTCCGCGTTCAAATCGTTTCCTGTATTTCTCTCTATTCACGATTTATCATAGCATCGATTAGTCGATAATTCGTTTTAATTACATGTCGATTCTTCGACGAACAAAGTTAAAGCACAAAATGAGAAAACGATACCATCTCTAATTAGCGAATTAAGGTTAGATACCAAGCGGAATCCGCAGATGGAGCTAGCGTCTTTTTTCCTTTTTTTTTTTTACTAGCTTTCAATTTTTCCTTTTTTTTCTTTTTTTCTTATTTTGTACTGTAAATTTATCCCCTAAAGTATCGACACTACACGATATGATTACTTTTACGCTGTCGCTACACTATTTTCTTCGGAGACCGCAACGCTATGGCGAAGAATAAAAGGATTTGGGAGTCCCAAATACGTGGACAGGCCTGAGATAAATGCTGTACAAGTCAGTTCACGGAGTTTCAGAAACTTCCTTACGTTTACGTTACGTTTCACCATCTTTTTTGGTTCTTCCTTTCGTTTCACGCTCGTCCGTGTATTCTTTTTTTTCCTCTTTTTTTTTTATTATCCCCTCCACTCTTTATGTACAACGGTTTATCGAGAGAACTTAAACTTAATCGTCTTGTGCAGTTTCTCGTCGTCGGCGGTAAACAGTCACGTTTTATTTATGTACATAGAACCGCGCACATTTTCGTCGATTTAACGCACGCCTAACGGAAGTCGCATACATTCAGCCACCAGGTTACATCATTAATTCGCCTCTTCTCAATCAGGGGACTGATGTTAATCAAAGGGGTTAAACAAGTGTTCTCTCGTTTCGTTTCTAATTAATTATCTCCCGACGATGACACTTGAAATCACCAAAATGGAAAAAATAACAGGGGCTTACGAGTATTTGCGAATCAGCCTTCTGTCAATGACTCGTGTGAAAGAATTAAAACGTGAGGTAATCGTCGGGAGGATAACACTTGCTTTCAGAGTCGATCTTCCGTTTCTTTAATTACAGCGCGCCCCGTGGATATGACTTTATATCGTAGTTAATGATCGTCTAATCGTCTACATTAGTTACTCGTTTAACTTAGATCGTGATCTAGAATTAGTTAAAACTCGTACGTACGTGTTTCACGTTTATTTACATTTCGATTACGCCGTCTATTTACACGCGCAACCCGCGACGGCGGCCATCGCCGCGATTTTCCAAACTCGCGACTTGGAGCTGAAAGAAAAAAAAAAAAAAAAAAAAAAAAAAAAGAAAAAAATTCGAACCAATTTAAAGAGTTGGGAATATAAGTGGCAAACACTTCTGGCAGTTCTTTTTTTTTTTTTTTCTCTCCCTTCAATTTTTATTCTCCGTGGATTTTCGAAAGACTCGTAAAAACCGTTATTCGACAAAAAACGTACGAAATAACGTGGACGAGAAAGTCAAAGCGATTTTCGGGGAATTTCGACGAGCTGTGGAAATTTATCGTCGAATCGATAGCCGAGTGGTGAACGCCGCACCAGCAGTTGCTGTTTTTCGGCCGATGCCCGTCGTCGTGCGGGTGTCTCTAAACACGCGGGGCCGCGTTTTCATGCGCGACGTCAATAAAGGGTCCGCCGATAAATTGCACCGTGTGGCTGGTTCGTTTGCGTACCGGGTTCGATCCGATCGTGGCAATAAACCTTTACTGTCCTCGTTCACGTGAACTCGTTCGCGCCCCCTCCCCTCC